AAATAAGAACTGCCCCAGGAGTGCTCCAAACCCCTGAACACTGACGCCATATCCACGTAAAGTGAAAACACCTGACACCGCCGTCACAGGACAGTTTTGGCGCCACAGCAGATGTAACAGGCGCTTTCGCATCACGCAAATGTGACGTTCGTGTACAAGCGTCAAACTATCCATAGGGAAATGCTTTTATCACATTTCATGAGTTGGGAATTTCTTTCGTCGGTGCCAGGCAGTTTCAAACTAAACGCATGAGAGCCGTGTTAAACAGGTCAAACAACCCCAAAGGACCAATCTCCAGCCTGCTCTACACCCAAGCAAGATATTCCGATCAAAATCTGGCCTGAATTTCCAGCAGCGCGATTCTCCCGATTCCGCTGTTCCTTTATGTGTCGTGGGGCATGAACGAAGAATATGAGACACGGTAACAGCGAGAATTCTTGATGGATCAAACTACTCCTAAACCGAAAGGAGCACTCTAGTCTACGAAAATTCGAGAAACGGTAAGAACGTTCAGGTAGGATAGAGGAGGAGGTCATAGAAAAGGATGCAGTGAGACGAGGGTATTTTCCAAAAACTTTCCGCAACGTGATGGTGTGCCCTGCTGTTGATCACCACCATTTTGTTCCTGACAATGACGATGATCTGATGTGTCGTCCACTACTTTGATTCGGTCATATGGCTTTCAATAACTAGTCGTATGGCGGCTCACTAGATAGTATGACCAAAGGACATGTTTATATAACTGACAAAAGAAAGTTTGGGGTCTGGTCTTCTGAGTAAACAGTAGTCAGCACAACCGATGATGTACATCATCGAAAGAATCTACGCAGGGGGTTTGAGGTAAATAGCCAAGGAAGTGCTAACTTCGCTCAAAACTGCTACATATACGCCGAAACATGTGTGTTTACACCGCTAGTTCAATCGCTTGATGATATTCCAGATGCCAAAGTTGCCTGACAGAAAGAAAAATTCGATGGAATCCACAAACATCTGTTTGCAGATCCCAACGCGAAGCGCATTCGTCTACACCTTCAGCCCTCCGCCCGCCACTCTCTTACAGTAAAACTTCGGAGAAATTTAGTAAGAGGTTGTGCGTTGGTGGTCGTAGCATAGGTTGTGGAAGGGGCCTACCGAGAGCATCCGTTTTGGGAAATAGGGTGGAACTGAGACCGTCATTTTACATATCCCGGTAGTGTGCCGTGAAACCCACGGGATGCACTAGCTATTCGTCACTGAAAAGTTATCTGATACGAGTCAAGACTGATATCCCTCTGAATACGTAAAACTTCGAAGTAAAGACAGAAAGGTGAAAATAGTAAAAATAGAACGATGATGTAAACAACATAATTGACTCAGAATGGAAGGACAGGTTCCTAGCAAGGTGACGCGATAATTCCTCTACAGAACAATCACCACCTTTTGTCAGCATTTTGCATGAAAAATGAAAATCTAAGACAAGCTGTTCAACCTTAACAAGGGAAGAAAACAGATGAAGGCGAGATGACACGGTCAGACAGACTTAAGACACATCTACGGTTAACTTTTAGACAAACGTTATCCCTTGCGTAAGACACGTGGGTCCACAGGCAACTGGAAGGTGCGCTGCTTTCGTTACGTAAAGTTGCGTGAAAAGGCACTCGGAGCAAATTATGTAAGGTACCCACCAGAATGGACGTCCTTCGTCCTTTTTACAACCCTAATGAATTACGATACGACAGCACGGGACAGGAAATTTTAGTGATCCAGCATCAAAGAACTAATCCGAAACACTGTCTCTCCGTTGTGTGCTCGCACAGTCCTCGAAATCAAAAGGGGTGTTATTGGAGCATATGCGACAGTTTTAATTGCCTCCAAGGAGTGCCAACCAACAGTACCTGCTCTACCACTGTTCTTATACTGAGCCTGATCGAGAGTTACCAAGAATTCCCGTGAAAGACAGCCAGAAGCTGACTCAAACAATGAGAAAAGGAGGGGAGAGATTTCATCAGTAACTAACTCAAAATCCTATTGTAAGGCACACAAAAGTGAACTACCTGCTAAAGTACTCCTTTCATCGATTGATACCTCAAACTGGAAAGAAAATTCACTCACCAAAGCCGGCTCATTGGAGCATCTGGACGGTCTTTCTTGGGCATTTCAAACATCTGATGATACGCCCAGAATACATGACTTGTTAACCAGTATGCGATGAGAACATCCATTGTGTAGTGTCCCCCTGATACTACTAAAGCGCTGATGCCAAGGAATGTTATTGGTGCAGCAAGATACCTGAACATGGACTGGACTACATGGACAACATAAATGAATAACGTTGAAAATTTCAAATATCAACAGGAAAAAAAAGCAAAACTCGACGAACCTCATCCATACTAATCCTCTCGGAGTATACTGTAACTGAACGAAATACATGATTGTTAGTACAACAGTATGTCCGCTGAACATCAAATCACCACAGAGGATCTTCTCCTGACCCGATGTCAGACCCAATGTGACGACGTATGTTAGAAATCTGAAACGAGAAAACCGTTACAACATAGATTAGGTGTGGTGCTTTTGGGAGGTTCAAAAAATATTCCTTTTTGCTTTGGAGAAAAAAAAACTGAAGTTGCACTGAATTTTCGCCTCTGTTTAATTACTAAGGAAGTTTTTTCGGTGAGTCTAGAGAAACAATCCTTATAGCAGGCAGGAAAAAGGATTGAAGACAAACCCCCGCGAGTAAACCTATAGTCGGCAAGTGACTCCCCAGGGAGGGAAAAAGCAAAAAAAAGCCATGGAGGACACCCTATCTGAAGTCCTGGCAGCCTATTTGAACGGGTTTGCCGGACCTGCTCGTTTCATACTAACAAAGCGTTATCCTCCCACCTCTGCCTATCTAGTAATTTCTTTACGATACTCAGCGCTAACATCACCTAACAGTGACAAAAATGAAAACCATAGTTTTAAAATTGAACTCGTGTCAAAAATAGCCTTAGTTTGATGGGCGGTACAGCTAAGGAGGCGGCAAAACTGCCATTTGAAAGCCGCAGTTCCTTTGTTACGTCCTGTGAAGTGGGACAATCTTAGGCACTGAGGACCAGACTACTCGTACAAGGAGAGACGCCAATGAATTGCTTGAGCGCGACTAGTGTCTTTGATTTTTCTGAATTTATAACGCCGTACACAATGCTTACGCTTCCTATCAATTTTTCCTCATGTTGAGATTAGGAGTTTTAAGCAGAGTCTCATGTATATGAATAAAAAAGTGAAATAATGTTGAAAAGAGCGTACCTAGTCGCAATCTCCATACCGTACATAGCTGATCGATTCACCTGGGAAAGACATATTTCATCGCGATCGTGGAACGATGGAGGAAGAAAGGTAACCTGAAGTAAGACGAGTTGAATTCATTTAAAAACCATTGACTCCCTTAAGAGATTCACATACTTAAAGGCAGTGCGCACGATTGCTGGAGGAGATGGTTGCTGCACGGCATTGGTGGAGGGACAGCGAGAAGGCGACTGGCAACACCCCCACTCAACTCCTCCACCGGTGACGTTGGAGACAACTGCCCGCCCCAGCCCGTGCTCACTGCTTTCGAGGCATCCTCATTCTCATTAGCCACCGGAATAGGGATAGGTAAGGCGCTTAATAGTAGTTATCATGATAAAAAAAACTTTGAAAAAATATAGTCTTCAGGTTCGCAGTCCATTGTCAACATGGTGTACCCGGCTCATCACGTTAAAAACTGGGAGGGTAAGGGAAGGGGGACAGAGTGGAATAACAGATACGCACTTGCCTGGAATGCCCGAGGTGCTGGTTCGAGTCCTGCCTAGAATCGGAAATTCTGCCCACAACTCAGCATTCTAGTTATATAGACAGACTTCCCAGACATTTACAGGCAAAACCGCTAGTTCAGGCGTGATCCAGTACCCCAAACTGCGAGTGGAACTGAGTGTTTAGGAGCAGCGATGCACACAACACTACTCTTTCTTCGCCTAGGGAGCTCCCATCCTGAAGGAAAGCGGAATTAGCGTCGCTCTCACTTCCTGGTGTCATCCCGGAGCATCACGGAGATGATTTTCGGGGTCACTTCATCCGCTTGTTTTCCCAAACTTATTATCTTGTACCAATCTGCGCTCAGCATACTGTCGCTCGAAAAGTTTCCAGTCTCCAGAAATGTGAAGAAAACGTAGCAGTTTCACACTTCAGAGTGACAAATGTTGGTAGTGAACTATACAGTTGTTCTTGATCAATACTATTTTTACTATAGCGTCATTGACTCATCGTTTATTTTGACAACACTGATAAATTGATGGGATCCGTCCGGATCCCTACAAGAAAAAAGAAACGATAAGCACTGTTGAAAAAAATAACAAAAAGTTCCATATAACTTACTCCTAGAACAACAGCCCGTAACCCGTACATTATTGCACCAAGGAGAAACATCCGACGTAGGACTACCCATCGTTCATGATGAAGCAGTACAACGGTAAATGCCATCACAGAACTAAAACTCATCTTTGAGGTAAGAATACAGGAAAAAAAGTTGAAAAAAAGCAATGAATAAGTCAATCAGCAGAACAAACAACGGAGATTAGTCGGAGATCAGGTTCAAAAAAGGTCTTGAAAATTCGGAGAGCACCTGCGGAAATCGGAACGGGAGTTCATCGGAAAGAGCCGAGGTCTCAGTGGGTTTTGCAATAATCAGTAAAAATATGCCTAGAATTTCTGGCACTCATCCAATGATCCCTAGATGTAAGAGTCAAGGAGCAGGAGTTAAGGGCGGGAAAGACCACAAGAAATACAAGAAGTCGAACAATTTCACTGTTCAACTGAGGTATGCATTACGGCGCTAGTCCAATATACCGCGCTATTTCGTTAAGTCCGTTATGTACTAGACCATTTGAGAATAGTACTGAAATATTCTGCGAAATGTTATAAGTTTCATTTTACTCTAGCTCTTGATTTTTTTAACATTAGCAGCCATTCTCCGATACTAGCCCTCTCTTGAAACGGGAGACTGTCAACACCATCGTAATTTGCCGCGCCATCGCATGCAGAACATAGCGCGGCAGTGAGTCCCGCACTTCGAGCGAGATGTCCCATAACGACAAAGGAGCTAACACTTCTAATCTGATCTCTCCCGACTGAGCACTCGAAATGTATGTGGCTGCGAAGTATCCAGTTGCCGCAAGCGGCACGCGACGTAAGCTGCCACGCCCACACTAGTCACAGCCTATCTACTACGCTCCTACCAAATTTTTCCATACACTGAGGGGAGGGAGGGGGGCGTGGTAGCAGCCTCCAATTAACTGACGAAAACAGTCAGGAATAGTAGATGGATCGTTCCGAACCAACTAGAGGGCATAATGTGGGTGAAACAGGAAAAATCAATAATCGGCGGAATTCTCTAGGGATCAAATAGGATGTTCCTGATGCCCTGCGGTATGAAATCCTCAAATCGGAGTCGAAATCGTACAATCATGATTCCTGAAAGCGAAGGCGTGGAGAGGAACCGCTCTAAGTCGCGCCCCTTCACACGCGTGACTTTGCAGGGATCGTGGCAATATGTACTAGGCGAAGTTCATTCTTGTTCGAAGCTTTATAGGAGTATCTGAAATTACTTCCGTGGAGTAGCATCTGCATCTTTTCTATGAAAAAAAGTTTCTGGGGAAACCACAAAATAAGTTTTCTCAAAAAAAAACTGACCTGACAGTGGAGAGCACATCTCCGACGGACCAAGCCCACTTTTGTTGTGGAATGATCATAAAAGTGAGATCAGGAAGCGGTTGACGAGGTACAACATCATGAATTACCGTCAACAGAAAGAAATTGAGAAACGCCGACAACATCAGACAACAAAATGCGATGGCCGTTTTGAGACCTTCAGATCGACGTGGGTGCATCTGAAAAATAAATGATTCAATTATATGAAAACTACATTCTCAGTGAAGAAGTGGGGGTGAGGAAAAGATGTTTGACTAGTAACGCTCGACTAGTAACTATATGAAACTTGGAAACTTGCATCACCACCCACGAAAACAGGTTCTGTGGGTTATTTCAAAACAAGAAGGCGACGTGCACGTGGCCGGTGATTTTGTTGATGATCACCTTCCTGTGGAGGGAGGGAGGATAGCACGTGAGTCAAGAATCTTCCTCTATGTACTCTCAACTCTACTATCTATCAGGTCTAGTAACTCTATGGATGAATTTACTAGTAAAACTTTATTCCTTTGCTAACCCAGTCTTTTCGTACCCATCGAGGCAAGCTTCCTCGATCGCCTCGATCAATACCAATATTACAGCTGATTGTTCTCGAGCGTACGAGCATGACTCATGCCGAGACCGAAGGATGAATTAGCCTGACGGGGACTAAGAACAATATGAAGGCTTTTTCGAAAGAACTTTGTGATTCATACTGCTAATACTGTTGCGCCAGACCCGTGAATTGTATTACAAGGCTTCACTAATGTTCAGCCGTGGAATACAATTAAGATTACCAACAAGTACAAGAGGAGAATGAATGGAAGGAGTAAAGCAAGATGAAACAGCCTGCCAGTTGGAATAATATAGTCCTGTCGCCTAGGTCCCCGCCCCAGATACCTACGCCCTTTTTCTGCCGCGGACATAATTTGCACGTACATTACACAAATTATACTGAACAAATTCTACTTACACAAGTTTTTCACATTTTCGCGTTTCGTGTATAACACATATATGTACACTTGTTGATTACAAAATAATGACACATTTGAATACGCCTTTGACGACTCCGCCCACTTGACCCAGTGACCAAAGGCGCGGGGAAGGGCAAGTGACAAGAGCAGCAAATATAAAAACGATTATAAGCAGTAAAGGGAAGACAATGATGAACTGTTAGGCATGTGGGGGCACCGAATTGTACTCAGCTAAGCTTGTAAAGGACACCTTGTGAAGATTTGTAGAAATTTCCGCATCAAAAGTGGGTCACTTTTTGCAGCTTCACCGGATCACACAGTGGTACTCGGTGCCGACAATGGACCTGCCATTTGAGGGATAGCGACTTCAAGACAAATTGAATACTCACTCTGAAGTCGGTCCTTGCCATTAGTGAGGTAAATAGGTCCGCAGCTGCAATAGCGTGACATTTTCTCCGCTTAAAAGTGCAGGAGAACGGGAACGTAATGTTACTCCGTGTGACGTTTCCGGAAGCACACGCGCTATTCTCAAGGTGCAGCACTCGCGTATATACCAGAAAGAACCCGCAGCGAACACGCTGTCAGCGGTTGAGAACAAGAAGGAAAGAGAGAGCGCAGACAAGCAGCAGCGTTTGGCTATGGTTAGACGTGTGGCTGGCCGTGCGGCAGCGCTTGCGGGGTCGAGAAATGACGCCTGAGTATCACCACCCTCCAGCCCCACTCTTATGCACTTTTGAGCGCTGACCCGTTCACCTTGCACGTGACAGGACCACGATCCACAGAACTGACTGTACAGTTTGTCTTTAAAATGAACTCTCAATAAGAAAAAGTAAAAGCACCATTGCGTGATCATGCGTAGGGTAACCTTGGGGGAAAATGAAACTGGCCCTGCTGTTCATAAGCTTGCCAATTGGATAACTACAGAACCAGTTTGTTAGTTTCCCCACAAATAGTGGACAATATGGGATGACCCTGGTGCGGAATCAAATTAATGATTATACGTGGGAGTAGTGAAGATTTCCACCGTCGCAGGGCTTTTTTCGCATAGACTCTTCATTATATAGACGCCAGAAAACGAAATGAGAAACACGCTCAATACTCCACGTCATTCGCATATAAAAATGTTGCTATGCTGATTGAATACGCTCTGCTTAAGGCTATATACGGTAGATTACCAAAAGGGATTACTGCTAGAAGCAAGCGCCGAAAAGAACAAAGAATAGGACAGAATTGAATGAATGATTCGCAATTTGAAAACTTATCACGCCATGGATGTGGAGCGGGACAGTAATCTTGAGAGAACAACATTGTCAGAGACCTGCTAAACTAGACAATAGACGAACCAGTTCCAGTGCACTGTAAAAATCTCCCAGAACTCACCCTCATGCTTAAACACGAAGATGGGTCCTTGTAAAGACGAGATGGGCAGATCCGCAGTTGTTGAAGAATACTATTTTCACCACTATGTGGAAGTGAAACTGCGCGTTATTGTCCTCAATGTCCTTAAATGTCATAGTTCGCGAGCAAAACACGCCACGTACGGCTAACAATACGCCTATGCATAGCATCACGCGCTACTTGTATGCCCCCCTGCATGCTTTGATAGAGCGCTACTGTTCTCACCAGGGAAGTCCGCCAAATTACCATGGAACTTTGAATGGAGACCTGGGTAGATCGATAGAGTCTATAAGGTTATTTACAAATATAGATAGCAAAACTGCAACCTGCATTTCACAAGCAACTTATGAGCAGGTAAAGTTTGTAATGGTGCAGTAGGGTGGAGGCTTGGTGGTGAGCTGTGAAGCATAAGCGAGGAATCGCATACGTCGAATCGAGTCGTCGAACGTCGAACCTTACCACTGAACCACCACGACTCGATTCGACGTATGCGATTCCTCGCTTATGCTTCACAGCTCACCACCAAGCCTCCACCCTACTGCACCATTACAAACTTTACCTGCTCATAAGTTGCTTGTGAAATGCAGGTTGCAGTTTTGCTATCTATATTTGTAAATAACCTTATAGACTCTATCGATCTACCCAGGTCTCCATTCAAAGTTCCATGGTAAGTTGGCGGACTTCCCATGGCTCGACTTCGACGTATGTGCACGTTGCGGGCATGTTGCCAACAGATCTGGTACAAGATCTTAATCGCCTAGGTCCAGAAGCGAAGATAATGGCAATATACGAGCAACGTGCGGCATGCACATTACGAGTCGAACGGTGTGCGATGACACGAAAAAAAAACATCCAGCTCAGTAACCTTACTTTCACGCACTTCCGAGCGGCGAAAGTGGTAAAGTTCTATAGCTGCAAATCTGCCCGTCTCGCATCTGGAAGATGGGCAGTTTCTACAATCCTACCATTTCCCAAAACCAGATTCGTCTAGCCATACCATTGCAGCTTTTCTTTCCGTCCTCTACGGTCTCCATAGTGACCACCTGGTCATTCAGGGCTCCAAGCGCGACCACCATCTCTGGACTACGAGCAGGCTTGACCCCGCCTTTACGTGTACTGCACACATCATTTCATAACGTTTGATTCACTAAAACATGCCGTAAGCTCGGTTTTGGCCCCTAACGCGAGCGCTGAGACACGGCATCGGTGCGACCATCCTCGGGGTGGTGTCGACTCTCGGGTGTTCGCTTCCCTCACTGTGTCGGGGTACGGCATTGTTGTGTGAATCGTGTAAGATGGTCGTACTATGTAGCTAGCGAACGGAATGGTGTTTGGCCTCAAGAAAATTTTCCCTGAGACAGTTTTTTTCGACCCACGCGCCTATATGCCCCCCCGCCCCTTCCTCCAGTAGTAGGCAGCGCGTCTAGTATAAGAATGTGGAGTTCAGTGTAAGTGTAGAATCACCCCCATGGGAAAAGCATACCCTTTTGTTTTATCAACTACAGGATATCACCCTTTACAGAAATGAGCAATAATGCGATGGGAATATAAAGGTAAAGATACTAATAACAAGAAAATTGAAATCAAGTAGACTTGCAGTTGGATTCTTAGCAAGACAAGGTTCACCCGGAAATCCTGCGAAATTAGCTTTCGACTCGTTCATGGAACCATTTGAATATCAAGGGGTGTCAGCCTCACAATAACTAATAACCTCATTTCTGCGGTGTTATCTGCACTTATTCTGCGCCGAAGGGGGTCTCTCAAAATGGTGGATAGTGCCGAAGTTGTTGGCTTGGAAGCTGGCCAAGGCCTAATTTGTAACGACTTGCGAAGCACGTGCAGCGTTAAAAAGGCGGCCATGTCCCGTAAGATAGGGTAGGTAAATAGACAGGCCTGATTGACTGTGAATATTGTTTGAGTTACTATACAGGAAGAAAGAGATTCTTTTAGAACAACACTTCAGTTTTCCACTGGAGAACATCTGGAAATCATTTCGGCAAATCCTCACAATCGAAAATAGACGTTCATAGTTAGCGGCAATGGGGAATCGGAAAATCGGCGGATGGGCAAGTCGGAAAATGGGCGACGAAGGATTCGGTATCAGTTGATCTAGAATACGCACGCTGGCTGAGTGGGAGAACCGGGGAAACTCGTGAATCGGAGGCGACCAACCCGCCTGGGTTCCTGGGGTTTCTTAGGAGCGCATTTGCTGATTCTCTAGCATGCAACGTACAAAAGCGACTCAATCGGGAGAACCATGTGCTACGCGTTACGGTACTTGAGCCGTCCTCATGCCCACTAGTGGGGGAGGGGGGAAGGTGGCGTTTTGCACTTTCGCTGCTTCACTGGTTCCCCTTTACCAGCCTCACGCCGGGGGAACCTGTGAACTCTTGCGAAGCTGGAGCAAACTCGTCGAGTCGAGGTAAATGATATTTCTGTGGTTTTTATTGTTTTACAAGAGTTGACAAGTAGTCTCTAGAAACTTTGGCTGGTACCATTTCAAGACTTCGCAAGATTTCGCAAATCTCCACTTGCTGGCCCCACAGGTCGATGGGAAGCAGAAAAAGTGCACCTCTCCCTCGCCGGATCGCGCCTGCACGACCCTTCGGAATAATACTACACATGGATATCAAAAAAAGAACGCCTCCCAGGGCCTTCTAGGTGCGGATTTTGGGGAGTATGAGCGGGAAGGGGCTATATTTCGTCTTCCACCAATCGCTGAAGAGGGCAAGCGACTACAAATTCAATCCATTTAGGCAACAGGAAAGCCGTTCGAGAGAAAATAAAACACAGGGAATCTGAGTAGAGCGGTAAGTAAGAGGTGGCTGGTTCCCAGACAGTATTGTAGTGAGTAAACATGTAGTTGAGCATAAGGAACCGATTCTTCGGAGTCGATAAGCTGTAAGGCATAACTTGAAGATGATTCATAAGACGTACATATTATGTATATGAACTCGCACATGAGTCAGATTATATTTTTAAACATGGCAGACAACTCGAACGCATAAGTAACACAGGAACAAGAAATGCTGACACGAAAAAAGCTAAATTTGAATAGCTTTAAAATGACTCACAGGTTTTGGACTGATACATGAGGGTTCGGGATCAGCTGGATCGATGTTTATGGCAATCCCGTTGCATGTGGGTGAGGCAAGTGAGTGTTGAGAAGCATCAAGTCGTACCTCAAACAAAGCGCATAAACTTAAAAAGCACAAAGTACTATAAAACGCTCCTAAAGGCTGTCTCATCCTTTGCGCTAGCGTTTCAAGCCTACAGCAGCATGCTGAGCGTCTCAGTATGGCAGCGTTCTGAGCGACTAGGAAACCATATGGTATTGATATTGCGCTTTGAGCATACGACAGCATTTTGAAATGTTCGCGAGCGGTGGCTGAAAACACTGCCGTACGCTCAAAACGCTGATGCAGAGTAGGAACGCAGAAAAGACTGTTATCACCATTCATAACAAAATAGCAAATGAACTGTCAAGAATCAAAATAGCACGCACAGTAATCCCTGTAGTTACTCACCTGAAGCTCGGTGCCCTCAATACCAAAATCGGCCGATGGGCGTAATGGTACATGGCTATCACTCTGATCCCGCCGATGTCCACCCATCCTAGAATCGCCAAAATTTAAAAATGCAAAACAACCGCGTCAAATGCTGTCCGAATATGTAATGACGCTGACGGACGCCTCGTTTTCAAATGCATATCACGACGAATGAAAATATTTGCATCTGCACATATGTAAATGAGGAAGAACCAAAAATTCCATGGCTCTGAAGCTATTGGATGTAGGGCACACAAAATGAGAACAAGAAAATGAAAACCACTTAATATTAAAGCGAACAGACGAATGTTCACACAGCTGAGCAGCGGCCTTCGCATTGGAGCATGCTATTCGTACTTAATTGGAAATAATTGAAAGCTATGAGATTCTCAAATCAGGTTTTCTGAGATACATGAGTTACATAAACTTTAACGTCTGAGTTATGTGTGTCTAGTGCACTACGGCGTGGCATTTGATGAAGACCTTCAAAAGTCAAAATCACACATTAGGTCGAGATATGTTTTTATTAACAAACAAATAAATAGTAAACAATCATATAAATGAACATCTATTCCGAACAGCCAGGTGAAGCTACTGCCGCCTAAACCTACACCCGGAAAAACGGCCGGACGAGTTTTACGTCCGCAAGTCGTCCACTTCGTTGTGGGACCACGCGTCCCTTTAACTTCATTTGAATTAGGATACTTCAATAAGAGCGTTTTTTTGCAAGATTATCGCTTTTGTGCGTAATCACAGTTAATATTTTCGAGATCTGCTTCTGCTTAGATTAGGAAACATGAAACCTGAGGTGCAACCGGAAACTTGAACACTTCAAGTGCATCTTTTGTTTTAGGGGTTATATCCCGTGGGGTGCCACCGTTTGTAAACTGCCACTCAGCGTTGGATTTCAACGCAGGACTGTTGAGTTTAGGAGAACAACAACTAGTCTCTGTTAGATCTAGATTCACTGCAATTCTTCACAGGCCGGAATGGTAAACGAATTCCAGCAAAATATAATCAAAATGTTTTAAATGCAGCTGTAATGGAGAAGGGTACAGCTGCGTGAAAACGTGAACTACTCCTTCAGGATCATTGGCAGATATTCATGCTTATAACCAGGCCCATTGTAACGCAGTCCACAACATAATAAAGCTCTTACTTGTACCGGAGTACAAACATGAGAGCCACTCTTGCTCATGCGGAAGCTCCGGAACCAATCCACAAAGCCAAAAGCAGTATGCACTTACCAAAGCACGAAACAGTCATCCACTTTCATGAGCCTTTCGAAGCAGAAGCTGATCTAGAAAATGTTAACTAGGCGCTGTTTATCGACGGGCATTTCGTACTATCACTGCTTCCCTTGTTCCGGTTTGCAAATCTCACTTTGGTAAAACTTGTGAACTCTTGTAAGCTGGAGCAGGATCGTCTAGCCACCATCCCAAAACGTGTCAACTCGAGAAAACGCTACCTAGATGGGTCGACACATCTATGGAAAGCAAAATGCCCCCCCCGTCGATAAACTGCGCCTATTAACTATGATTACGCACAAGAGCGGTAATCTCACAAAAACCGCTCTTATTGAAGTATCCTAATTCAAATGAAGTTAAAGGGACGCGTGGTCCCACAACGAAGTGGACGACTTGCGCCCGTAAAACTCGTCCGGCCTTTTTTCCGGGTGTAGGTTTAGGCGGCAGTCTATATTGGGATGGCATCGTAAAGACATTGGAGAAGGCATTGAAAACCCACAATAAAGATTCTAACCATGACTGTTTCTCAAAAAATGGTATCCAAGGCTCCAAAGAAGTGAGACTCACCTGCTTTTAAGTAGCATATCGTCCTGCAGAAATTCGGAATCGGCTCGCCGCTCCGGGAGCTTCTTAGACTTGAACTAAACTCATCCCATAGCTCATAATCGCACCTTCCAGCATAAAAAGCTGTCCAGGATTAAAAGAAAACGTAGAAATAAGGTGCGACGAAACGCGAAGTATTTCGTAGTTTTGGAGCGTCTTGGGGCACTTGTTAACCGGTAAGCCTCTCTTCTGTTTCTTTTTTTCATCCTCCTTCCTTCTGTTCCTTCATCCCTCCTCCTTTACCTTCTCCCTTCAGCTACTGGACTGGTTGGTAGATGCCTCAAGAAAATACCCCTGGACCCTCGTTGTGCAAAATGGATATTACCATAAACCTACGAACTATTGCACCAGAGTGCTTACATACCTATATTGGAAGAGCGCCCTTTTCCACCAATAAAACAACAAATGAGGTGACCTGCGAGAAATTCTCAGTCAGCATTTCTAAAGCGAAGCAGAATCTGTGTATAAATGGAACAACTTGACAAAACTCGTGGTAATGGACGTGAGGAGTACGCTTTGAATCAATTGACAGAGTAGGGAGAAAAACGCAAACTGGTTATTTAGACGGGTAAAATACTATATGAAGAGTAATCCTCGCCCATTTTGTCATTGTTATAAACACTGTGGCAGCTATTAATGCAACAATACATAAATACACCCATGACAGTGTAGAGGCACTCTCCAGCACCGAAATACCCCCGTAATCCAGGTCGAACTGGAGAAGGCCCGATTAAATTGCTACTTTGACGTTAGAATTCCCATTTTAAGGTTAATTTAACATTTATTACAACACTGTAACAAGTGAAAGTAGAACAATACGAACGATATGTCAATACACCAACGGGGAGACTTTGTGGGTCAGCCAAGAAGCGAACGGCTGCGCTAGCGCGTGCATCGCCAGCAACGAGACACTAGTTCTGGCGGAAAAAAGCCGGTATGAATGCAATAATCAGGAATGTTATACGTCAATAACCACATTCAAACCTTGAATGACTCGTCCGTCAAGTACGAGTAATCGGTGGTCGGTGTTATGTCGAAGGGAGGAGGAACAGAGGGCCGAGAGGGGCTGACGAGCGCCGGTCGCCGGAGCGCGACTAACCGCGAGCGACGGCGCGAGTGCGATAAAGTAGTGTCTGCCGCTCTCCACTTCCTCTACACTATTTTCGGCCCGATCACCTCACTAACTGGTAAACACGCTTTACTCGATGGTATTCAATAAGCTCTAAAGTTGAGATATGTGTTGGTTGGCAGCCTAAATGGCCATGTTTGTCCAGATCTCAGAGAAAGTTGGATAGATGCATATCAACGGGTCGATTTGTGCGGTCCTAAAGTGGGGGTCATGTAATGCAAGTGAGAGCGCCGCCAGCTGGTCCACGCCATCATCAGTGCCGCGCGCCCCATCACCATTGGGGCTTTTTCAACCCGAAATGCGCTCACGTCAGGTGTACGTTTACGCTTCGTTGATATGCAGATAACACGCCATTATGTGAAGTAAACTGACATCCATCGAGTAGCGCTCCGCCGTGAGGGTAATATGTGGAGGCAAATCCGCTTTGGGAGGGTGAGCTCGATAACAGCTGAGCGGATTGCCAGAGCTGAGCCAGCACATTAAGGACGCTGACGCAGCTTGTATTGAGGTCTAAGTGCATGTGGAGGGGGGGGGCATGTGTGCGTGCACATGTGCAAAGTACACGATTGTCAACCGAATGACGACCTCGACTCAACTCCAACCAACGACGCACATAAACACTTGAGTCCCACAGAATCCGATCAAAATCTGTTTTCCTAAGGGGCTTTTCATTTCACACACCGAAAAACACTGAAAACCTCCACGCTTGTCACTTTTCAATTTATTTGCAGTACACATGCCGTCAATTGAACGACGTCACGCCTTTTTCCTGTCTTATTAGACGGTGAGCTGGAAAGACCGTGGTGCGTAACGTCAAAAGACAAACGCAATAGATATGATGTCAGTTCAAGGTCTGTGTCATTGATGTGCATCGATACAAGCAACACATCACGTGTGACGTATCCATTGTTTATTTGAAAGTTTATTAATCGAGTAGTAAACACATTGCTCATCGGTGTCTTAAAGTATCCGATGTCTGTTTTGTCTGTACCACCGAATCTACTTGCACTTCGGAAGACTCGTTGGGAGGGGATGCCAAAACATCCATACAAACTAACTGTTGCGGCAGTTTAAAATGACGCTAAATCCTAACCGACTGCCCTCCCGCCGCTCGACAGCAAAGTTTTGAGGAAAAAAACACGAATTCTCGGGGAAATTTCGGAAAAACTGGTAGGAGGTTAGGGAAATCTGACCAGGAAAGGACAACGGTCAGCCTTGCATTTCAAGAGATGCCATCGATTTTTTTTTTTTTTTTTTTTTTTTTTTTTTTTCTTTTTTTTTTGTCTTGGGGTACCCGTCTTAAGAACGGTGAACTCAAAACTATCTTCAAAATTTGCGGAACGATTCTCTGAGCGGAGTTAGAGAGGTTTCGCTGGCGCCGAAGCGTTGGTATATGTAGCGCATCAGCGCTCTCAAGCAAAACAGGTATCATAAGTTGCGTGTTTCAGGGGGTAATCGAAGACTGCACCGTTTAGCAAAATCTGAGGGCTCCTGACTCAACTTACGAAAAATGGGGTATGGATAGCATGCTGATGATAGACTAACAGCGACGCTATGATATCATACGGTGACAGACGATTTTGAACTGAAATAACTCTTCAATTGTCTTTTCGCGGTCAGCAGTACCTAGCTTACTCATTTGTGCCGTCTGCATCATTTTCTTGACTATCGGGAGGAAATCCCATTCCGAGACCAGTCATCGATGGTAGGTGAGCTCCAATCTGCTGCTAATTACCCATGGAATAGCCCACATTTTCCAAGTGAGGTCGAAATATCAGATTCGGCTAGAAACTTGTCCCCAGGGGTAATTTAACCCGCTGAACATGATATGTGATGTATTTATTACAAAAACCCTTGTGACACGTGTTACGAGGGGTACAAGCAGAAGCACTCTTTCAGGCCACAATGGGTCTACACTTTCGAAAAAAACTGATCGCAGGTCCCCTTATAAGGTAGTGCAGGCGAGAAGAGATGTTATAGGCTTTGTCGGCTATGTTTGGACAAATGCAAAAGTCGACTACCGGCAACCGATCCTAGCGTGAGTCCACTAAGAACCGCTCTACTGCGCTTTAGTACGACTTCTACGCATGATCCTATATAATGTATGACGCTTTCACGTCTGCATAGGTCATGTGAAGACCATAGCGGGGATAAGACCTCCACTGCGTCAGGGAATCGTTCACAAATTCTGAAGGTAGATTTGGAGTGTATTTCCCAGACGCATACGGGTGTGCAGCTCATTGGACAATAGCTAGGCGTGTTGAGCTTTCCTGATGAGTAATTTTCCTGTGTTTGCACTGGGTAACACCACCTCTCCATCATTATATATAAACGGTACGCGACGTCTTCTCTTGTCTGTCTGTTGTCTGTCTGCTGTGTCTGTCTGTTGTTTTGTCTGTCTGTCGGAAAATTGGAACTACCGAAGAGCAGTATCAGGGGGGTCAAGGTTGGGATGGAGGCATGGGCCAAGATGTAAACACACGTGAACTAGGCTAAGCCCCGCCCACTGTGGGCGGCGCGTGCGCATAGTTGTGAGCTTCATATTTCAAAAATTCGTAGTTCGGTTCCAAAAAGCCCAAGGCGAGAAAAGTGCAACGATAGGCAATTAGTTCGTGGACGAAATGACTGAAACAAACCCATTTTGGGCGGGGCGTTCTACAGATGGGCGGTGCTTGCTTCGAGATTTTCAAAAATTCCCAGTTTGGTTCCAAAAGAGCCCCGAGAGCGGAAAAAGTGGCAAACGATAGGCAATCAGTTGCGCAGACGAAATGACTGAAACAAACCCATTCTGTGCAGGGCGTTGTAGGTAAGCGGTGCCTGCTACGAAACTTTCAAAAATTCGTAGTTGGGTTCCAAAAAAGCTCGGAGAGTGGGAGAAGTGGCAAACGATAGGCAATCAGTTGGCGGACGGAATTAATGAAGCACACCCGTGATGGGCGGAGCGTTCGCCGAAGTGGACATGCGAGGAGCGAAACCGAAAGCATCCGAAAAAACCGCGACTAGGGAGTGAGCTGAAACTAAACAGTGTAATGGAGATAATAGTGAGGGATAATCCTAGGGGAGTATACCAAATAGTTGGTAGCGTCGGCAATACTTCATAATTCGGTTCCCAGACACACAAGTGTAGCTAATCGCAGTGAACGGGATATGTGCCACAGTGAATGGGAGTGAAAATCAAGGGTCGTAATCGGGGTATTTTATTTATTTGTTTAATTACCTACTATTTACCGTACAACAATTTAGGCAAATGCATATTCTACTTTTGTCCATCCTCAAATCATTCAATACCGACAGAAAACATTGACTATGCAGTAGTTTTCACAGTTGTTTACCATTGGGAGGGTACTTGCTGATCTCTATCCTACTATATATAAACGGCGACGTCTCTCTGTCTGTCTGTCTGTTGTTCTGTATGTCATGTCTGTCCTGTCCTGTTTGTCTGTCTGTCGCGGTAATTGGAAATACTGAAAGAGAGTCTCAGGGGGCGGGTCAAGGTTGGGATGGGTAGGGCATGGGCCAAGATGTACGAAACACACGTGAACTAGGCTAAGCCCCGCCCACTGTGGGCGGCGCGTGCGCATAGTTGTGAGCTTCATATTTCAAAAATTCGTAGTTCGGTTCCAAAAAAGCCCCGAGAGCGGAGAAAAGTGGCAAACGATAGGCAATTAGTTTCGTGGACGAAATGAACGACAACCATCATGTTGGGCGGGGCGTTCTACAGATGGGCGGTGCTTGCTTCGAGATTTTCAAAAATTCCCAGTTTGGTTCCAAAAGAGCCCCGAGAGCGGAAAAAGTGGCAAACGATAGGCAATCAGTTCGCGGACGAAATGACTGAAACAAACCCATTCTGTG